TATACATATATTAATGCAAAATTCGATGTAAATGATGAATAAATTTGATAATTTTTTTAAAATTGTGTCATTTTTTAAATTAAAATAAAGTTTAATTTTTGTTGTATGTTTAAAATAAAGATTAAAAATTTCTTTATAAATATTTTTTCTTATTATTTATGAAATATAATTTTTAATTATAATAATATAATTTTGAATAGAAGAATTTCAAAATAATTAGTTGAAAAGTTTTAAAAGATCTTATGCGCATACTTTTAGCGCTTAATTCGTCTACATTGTTTAGACGACTAAATTAAAGAGTAAGTAATATTCTTCATTACCAGCGAAAACTTTGTGAGACGTCAACGTGATTCAAATCAAAATTCCGCGACTAAAGCAACAATGTATCACTCTCTTTAAAGCTCTTTTGTTCTCATATATATTGGAAGTTTACGCATTTTGAAATTTAATTAAACTTACATAACAACAGAATTAGAGTTCCAATATATTATCAATATTTCATCAATCATTTCATTCGGAACTAAAACGTTACTTTTAATTCTAGTAAATGGTTTCTTTTAAAAATGCGTAATATATCTCTTAAGATGCCACCTGTCAAATACTTACGATAATATAAATGATAGACTGCAAAATCGACCTCATAAACTATTCAAACTCTTCAATCATTGTCGGCATTTATTCTTTCCAACATAAAAGGAATGATTACTTACTAAAACGAAAAAGTTATTTGACATTCGATATGTAATTTCATATGCATAGATGAACATCTATGAAATGTTTACAAAATCAAATGTATTGTAACAAGTAGTATGTGATCTGACTATCTGACAGTAATTAACTTATGCTAATATACCATTTGTCAATGATATAAAAATTGTAAATAGCGATATCCATATTGTTGAGAAAATGCAGTTGTATTTAAGCGAATGCCGTGCATTCTGAATTCCAATAATCCACATTGACCGTATTATTCTGTCTATGTCAGATTCGAATAATCTATTCATTATCTCTCACATTATCATGATAATCCTCTAACCATAATTTTTGCGCTCGTTTACGAATTTAGCGATAAGTTATAGCCTATTTATACAAAATTCATATATAACGTACTTATGATAATTTGTACCGAGAAAAAAATAATATAAATTAATATAAAATATCAAATAATAATACAATTAAAATATTTTCACAATTCACATATTAAATCATATCGTTTATGTTAAAACGATTTATGTTATTATTAAAATTATTCAGAATTTAATTACACGCGTGCGTATATGTATGAAAAAAATCATGCATATAATATAATAGTTTAATGGTTTTTATTCAAACAAATACTAGCCTCGAAACTATAATAATAATTTGTGCAACATTTTTACACTAAATATGTTCAAAATGTTGAAAAAAACTGCTGTTAAAAAAATAATATTTATATCCATTATTTAAAAGTTATAGAGTGCATGGACTTAGTGCCTTTTCATATTCTTTTGTATTTTTTTAAAAAAATAATTTTAATATTTAATCATTTATATGAGTTTGATCTGCTTGAGATTATTCGTAGAAAAATCCGTTTTATTAACTGCGAACTTCGCCTTTATATAGCAACCTTTTAATCGGCGATATATCTGCGTGTATCGTGCATTCGCTTTGTTCCATTCTAAAAACGTGATCCGAAAGCTATATCGGCACTCCTATATCCCAGAATTCCTATAAAAAAGTATCATTTTGCGAAGCACGTGCTGCTCGTTTCAAACAGACAACTATAAAGTCATTAGTCATCAACGCTATCTCGCGCGGAGGCCCAATGACAACTTTATCACCTATCTTCTTTAACAACTTTTAACAACTTCGTACAACTTTTAACTCGTCTGTCTACTCAGAGATCGTCGCAAAATTTGATTCTCCATTAGTCGATCCGATATAGCTAACACTCGCGCTTATTTCTCAGCAGGAGGGTGGTGCGTTGTCGATGACGGAGATGAAGAAATCATTGAGCTTCGATCAAGTATCCCATGGCGGGAACACCTAGCACAGGCCTCATCCTCATCTTCGTCCTCCACAGCAGCAGCAACAGCAACAGCAATCGCAACAACAGCAACCGTGCAAAGCCACCTCCACGCACACGCGTCACACGCACTGCCACTCACATTCACATCTTCACAGCCACCACTCGCACAAACATCAAACACTTCCACCGAGGCAGAGACGGAGCTCTCCGGGCATCATCTTGGGTCAAGGTACAATCATCTAACGTAAAATCTTACAAATATTAATTAATTATTATATTTGTTTAATTAAGCGACATATTTATCGTATAAATTAATTTGCATTAGTTTGTATTACAGATAGGAATCCAGCAAAATTAAAAAATTTAATTAACAGATTTAGCTAAAGGTGAAAGAGATTGAAAGAAATAACTCTATTTTAAAATATAAAAATTTCTGTGTTTTTCTTATATTCTAATAAATATATTCTAATAAATATATTCTAATAATATTCTAATAAATAATAAATTTATGTAATTATAAACACACATTAAGAAATATACAATATTTATCGATATATGTATTAAATTCAGATGTCTAGAAAGATCTCTGATGTAAATTAATTATTAATTACATAAACGTTGTGAAAAAAATACTTTATAAATCTAACATTTAAATAAATCAATTGTATTTGCATTGATATTAACATGAAGTCAAAAAATTCGTGCTTATTTTATACTGAATGTAATGTTACTTAATCATTAATCATTATTAATATTGCATTAGGAGGTGACCATCCTGAGAATATTCTGTGGAGATTTGACTGCGATCTAGCGGGTGAACCGGACGTAGTAATTTCCCCACCGCCCCCACCGCCACCACCACCTTCGGCAACTGTATCGAGAACTACGACCCTTTGACCAATACTCGAAGAGGTGCCGACAGGTGTACCTATTCAAAAGGAACTGCCCACTCAGGCCTCGGTGGTCATCAACGTGATAGATCAGAAAGAGACGTGCTTATAGCACATATAGTCGCCGGGGCGAGTTGGTAAACCGCAACGAGGGCCATCCCGCGCCGACGACGATGTCGAATCATCATCGATCGAAGTGCTAACGAGAATTTGAGGCTGAGGTCAATTGGATGAGAATACCGTGACCGGAATTACAGTGTCTTTTTTTTTGCGATGTATGTTCTCTAAAACACTTCAATAACTTCTTCTATTCTTTCAATGGAACTATAAATGGACGTAAATGGACGTATAATATAGCTCGCGGTACTTGGAGTATCAAACAAAGTCGGGATTATACGCTGGCACGTATAATCCCGCGTGTATCCACGTGAAGATATCGATAGCACCGGCATTGATGCAAGAAGGATGCGTTTCCTAATCGAGATAATGGATAGAAATTGTGTAGTTGCTCACATGCAATTGTTTGTTGAGCCAATATTGTTGTATCAATGAGTAAGTAGATTCAGGAAACTATCGAGTTTGTTAGTCTGAATGAAAACAACAGAATGCTATTTGCAAACAATACGGATCCCTTGGTAGCATACGTCTGACCAACGAATCGGACCTGGATTGGTATCAAATTGAAAAGTGCCAGTGCGTGAATGTCACGAATCAATCGGAAGAGTAGGAACTGCAAATGGAATACCACGCGCAATACCAGTTGACCAGGAATTGCTCGTGTTTCGAAATTTCCCGAGGCAACGATAGAACCGAGTGGAAAGCCGGACGTTTGTTCGAAGTATCCAACCGGACAGACCAGAAACCGTCCGCGACACCATGACGGAACACAAGCCGATAGAACCGAATTTCAAGTTAAACACATATCGAAGCAGATTTAGAAAGTCGATAAAGTTTGTTAAAACGACTCGTTTTCACATATAGAACTGTATTCCATCTACGACTATATTGCGACTCTTAGATTAAAAACTAATCGCAAGAGCCAATAATGGACCATAAAACATCAAATCATCCATTGCAAAATATCTAAATAATTATAATTGTTTTTTAAGTTATTGGCACTGTAGGATCAATTTCCAAATTATTCAAAATATAGTCGCATCGCAATTTTATGCAATTCTGTATGTTAATGCGAGCGTCAATCGCTGTATGATCGCTGACACATATAGTAATGTGATAGCAACGTCTATTGGAATGCAGTTTCCAGTGACAATAATTTTGAACTGCAATTTTGTCGCAATACTCACAAGACAAATATTTTATTTTTCTTTTTACCAATGCAAGATCAAAGATGCAAGATAGAATCAATAGACAAGTAAATGACAGTAAATTACAAACGGCTAAATAAAACTTACATTAGTGAAAAGTATAACGCAAGGCAATAAAACATCAATAGCTGTATCATATGATTCGGACCAAATTCAAATTAGTAACCACTGCCAGATTAGCCTAAACAAATGTGAAAACGTCCAATAGTTTGAGCAAAAATATGCAAATACAAAATACCAATTATATAAAGTAAATGCAAATATTACTTATTATTACAAAATTTCACGATATATTAATAATTTAAATATTATTTTTAAATGTATCGCGAAATATATGAAATAAGTACAAGAGTCAAAATTAAAGAAACATTTATTGTAAACTTTTTATGATTCTTATTAATGATTATCCCGAAACAACTATTGTTTCAACTATTTAATTATAAGAATAAAAAAATTCAAATTACAATTAATACACAACAAATATATAAATCTTTAATGAGAATGATGATATATGTACGCGTCTTGTATATGTTATAACAAATTTCTTTCTTTAAAAATATTAGTAAAAAAAATTACATTTTTTAAAAGAAACATTGGCCACTTTATAAAATCATTCAAAAATTGAGTCGTAAGATACTTCGAATGATAGTTAAAAGAATACGATCACTGGCATCTAACCATTGTATATTATAAGTAAGATAGTACATTAATTGTTGAGAAGTGATTTATAAATCTTTTGTATAAATATATGTGCAATTTATAAATACACTTAATGTATATGTATAAATCTGTATGTATGCATCGACATGTGTGTGTGTGTATATATATATAAACGTACATATTATGCGCGCATGGAAAACAAAGTGTGCGAATGCGCTAAAAAACCTAGTCATATTTTGACACAATCAAATAGTTTATTATCATACTATTGTGTGTACAGCGAGTGTTTTTCAACAAAAAGAAAAATAAATAGGTAATTCAATTAATTGTTCGCTATACAATTCTTAGCTATGTATTGCGGCATTTCGTATTGTGAATATATTATTGCGTGTATCGCTGTTTGTTAAAAAGATTATGTCGTGCAGCGAAATTATTAGTATGTTATCAGTCATTAATAAAGAGAAAATGAAAGTGAATTTACAAGTATGTACGCATGCGAATATCTAATGATAAACGTTGCACTACAAGAAAAGCAGAGATAAAGAAAAGGTGAGATAAAGAACGTAAAAATATACAATCTGTACTGCCACATGCGACAAGTGATTTACGATACACATTTTCAATTCAATACATTTTACAGTTACAACACGTATCTGTATTGTATGTAATATATAGTTGAAAAATTGAATTTATCTAAAGCATTGACATTACGTATGAGATATTAATAACATTCGTTATGAAATTTATCATTATGTGCGGTTCTATACATATGCATGCATGTTCGCATGAATGATGTATAAAGTTTCAATGAAACAACTCTATATCATAAGTATATGCAAGAAAAATCGCAATACCATCACTTCCATTTCTGCATAAGATATATTTTCTACATTCTCACTTTCGTGGAAAATTTTTCAAAAAATTTTATTACATTTTACGATAACGATTTTTGTTGGCAAAATTAAGCTTTATCTATTTTTTTTTTTGCATAAAGTCGGAAAGAAACAGATGATGTAAAGTAACAATTCAAGTTAACATTGATTTATCAGCGCATTAATCGAAAATTGTAATCGCTCTAGTTGTAAAAAGGATATCTAATGAATGTCTATAAAAAAACAGCGCAACAACTGGATACTTTCTCTACAGCGAAATAAAAGATTGGAACACCGATTGTACAGTATTTAATAATACAGGGAAATAAATTTTTTCGACGCTCGTAAAAATTTCAATTTATACATAAAATGATGTATATACATATATATATATATATATAT